TCAATGAGTGTCAGAGGTAGGATTTGAATCCAGGCTCTCTGAACCGAGAGCCATGTGCTCTAACTGCTAGACCACCTGGCCTCCTTAAGAGCTGAATCTTCAGAGCTCTTTGTTATATCATTCCTGTGACTATCAGAGTGGCCATTTGGAAGCAGCATCTCTCCAATTCCCAGAGCGCATGTGGGTCCATGTGCGTTTGTGTGCATGCAGGTGTGGACATTATTGACTTGCAGGTGTGAACATTATTGACTTGCGTGCTCCAGTTGCAGAGATCATAGTCAAGGTGATACCAATATGCTCTGTCAGGGCATTCTTCCTTAGGTCACTTAGAGACTCCTGTCTCAACTTGAACCCATCTCTTTTAGTCTTGACATCAGTGGAGATAGGAAACAGCTGGTCACCACTGCTCATATAAACGTTTTCCTATGCTTCTTTTTGTCAGGAGAAAGGAACCAATTTCCATTCCACTTTCCTTTGAGAGGCTAGTCTTATTCCCCACAACTTTGCTAATTTTCATTTCTCTGTTTGGGACCCTATCGAGAAGGTAAATTACTGTATTAAGAGTCATTCATTCCCTCGATGAGCATTTATTAAACCCTCACTATGTACTGGGTTGGGGGCACAGAGATCAGTTAGGAGGCTGTTGCAATAATCCAGCCAAGAGGCAGACGAGGGTCTGGTGGCAGTCCTGTACATTGTCATTTGTCCTTCATTTCTGAAGAGCTCCAATGACCTCATGACTGATGTCTCGACTCGAGTGAATTGGATTTAAGTGAGGCAGAGGTGCACAGTGATCAGCCTCATTCTCTCTTCCAGTCGCTGAAGTCCAATGGTAAGACAAAAGTCGAGATGACCAGAGATGGCCTGGGATGCACCTTAGCATCTTCAATGTAGAATCAAGCTCTAAGCACTCCACGGTACCTGCTCCAGCCACCTTCATGGCCATTGGAACAAATTGTTCTCATCCAGCCATTCTGCTGGGGGGAAGTCTTCACATGCTTGGGGCAGACCTCCTGTAACTCACTGATAGGTTTGAAGTCTGTTGGTTACCCTCAACCTGACTTAGCCCATCTGCCCGGGGTGGGGCATGGCGCCACACGAGCTCCAGCTTCTTGCAGCCACAGGGGAGAGTTGGGTGAAGATGGACACCAAAGGTGGATAAGCAACCCTCACACCAGAGAGGCTGGCCCTCCCGGGGACACCCCACACACCTCTGCCATGTAAGTAGAGAGAAGAGAACAGGTACAAGAGAAGTTCTGGAGGTAGAACTGACAAGTCGGTCAATAAATATTTATTAAGCACCTACTATGTGCTAGGCACTGTGTTAAGTGCTGGGGACACAAGGAAAGGCCAAAGACAGTCCCTGCTCTTAAGGAGTTCACAGTCTAATCAGGGAGACACCATGCAAATGAGAAAAATAGGGACAAATTGGAAATAGTCAAAAGAGGGAAGGTGCAAGAATGGAGGCGGATCAGGAAACATTCCCTTCTGGGAAAACAGAAAATTGACAAGACTTGGCACTGCCTCAGGAAGCCCAGGAAGCAGTAGAGCCATTCCCATCATATGCGGTTTAACAGATGGGAAAGTTTAAGCACAGATAGCAGCTATGACAACAATGTGTAGTACAGTGGAAAGAGAACTCATTGTAGAGTCAGAGAACTAGATTCAGATCCCGCCTCTGAAACTGTCTGCACAATGTTGGGCAAGTCACTTCATTTTCCTTAGACTCAGGTTCCTCATACGTAAAATGAGGAGTCAGACTGGATTAGATTGTAATCTCCTTGAGGACAGGAGCTGTCTTTTGACTCTTTTTGTATCCCCAGCACTTAGCACAGTGCCTGGCACATAGTAGGTGCTTAATAAATGCTTATTGACTGACTGGATGACCTCTGAGGTCCCTTCTACATCAGTCCCACACTGCTAGACCACAAATTGGCCTGGGGTTATACAACGCCTGGGAGCTAAAGCTTTGGAACAGCTAGCCAGGATAGCCCTTAGTAGCACATGTCTATGTGGTTCACACTTCCCCAGATGACTTTCAGCTCTGCTTCAGTGACCAGGCCCCATGTTGTTCACCAGGACCCACTATAGGATGGCCACAGAGGCCCCCGAAGAGACATTGAGAGTCAAGCAGGTTAGAGCAGGGGTGGGGAACCTTCGGAACACTTGAGGACCTAGAGGGCCACAAGTTTCCCCCCCCCCCCCAGGGCTAGAGGAATTAAGAATCAACCTGTACTAGAAACATGAACACGGCTGTATTTTTATTACCATCTGTTTCATCACCACTGGCATCCTCTCCCATATTCCCATCAGCAGCTGGCAGGAAAAGGCCTAAAAAAGGGCACATCCTTGCCCGCCTGCCTCTGGGCACCATTTTCTTAGCAAACTGGTGCCTCCCCATATTCATAGCCAGCAAAGAAAAAAGCAAAAAGCAGGTGCTGACTCCCTGTCTTCTCCCACTCCTATTTATTTGACTATCTCTCCTCGTTCAGGCCATCTCATTATTTCTGATCTGTGCAGCTTGCTGCTTTCAAGGTTTCATCTCCCCCTCTCCCGTCTGCAATGTGTCAATCAGTGGATGAGATGAGCCAGCCCAGCTTCACATCCTTGACATCTCTACCCCAGGACACAAGCAAACGCTGACGACACCCTTGCGACGAGGTGGAGGGCCCGTGTTTGTCTTTTACATATTCTCCTTGTCAGGGTGTGTGCGGAAATGAGATTGGAGGGTGTCATTCCCCTCTGTATGCTTCTGTCAGGGCACCCACAAGTTCGGGTGGTCCTGAGAATCTAGGAGTCATAAGAAATATTTCTCTTTTAAAAAAATTTCAAGAGTTATTGCCAATCTTGCCTTTTCTGGAGCCAATTTAGACTACGGAATCAAGCAGTGTGTCCTAAGTCAAGAAGGTTTCTAGCAAAGGAAGGCTCTAGGGTGGGTAGAGGACCCCAACTGTCATTCTCCTATTGTGGGGGAGAGGAGGGATAGGGATGGTATCTTTGGTTTTGTTGGTATAGGACGGGGTAGGGAACCTGTGGCCTCAAGGTCATATGTGGCCCTCTAAGTCCTCAAATGCAGCTCCTTGACTGAATCCAAACTTCACAGAGTAAATCTTTTTTTTTTTAAAGGCAATTGGGGTTAAGTGACTTGCCCAGGGTCATACAGCTAGTAAGCGTCAAGTGTTTTGTCTGAGGTCACATTTGAACTCAGGTCCTCCTGACTTCAGGGCTGGTGCTCTATTCACTTCACCACCTAGCTGCCCCCTTATTATCTTCCTTTTTTGGAGGGGGTTAGGCAATGGGGTTAAGTGACTTGCCCAGGGTCACACAGCTGGTAAGTGTTACGTGTCTGAGGCTGGACTTGAACTTAGGTCCTCCTGAATCCAAGGCCGGTGCTCTATCCACTGTGCCACCTAACTGCCTCCTAAATCTTCTTAATAAAAAGATTTGTTCTGCAAAACTTGGGCTTAGTCAAAAGGCTGCTCCCCAGGAAAGGCTGCACCAAGAAGGCCACAGGTCCCCCACCCTCTGGTATAGTGTATTCTCAGATAAGGAAAATCCTACCAACTCAAGTGGAAATCTCTGCAAATGATAGTCTTTGAGGTGTGTGGGGTACTGAGGAGAAATGTGACTTGACTAGGATAAGAGAGACGGTGTCCAAGAAGAGTTTTGAATCTAGGCCTTCATGACTCTGAAGCCATCTCTCTCTCTGATGGGATGCTCTATCTCTTGTTTTGGGGTGGGGGTAGTACATGGAAAAGAGGGGTGTGGGGCAGCTAAGTGGTGCAGTGGATAGAGCACCGGCCCTGAAGACAGGAGGACCTGAGTTCAAATCTGGTCTCAGACCATCCCCTTGACACTTACTAGCTGTGTGACCCTGGGCAAGTCACTTAACCCCAATTGCCTAAAAAAGAAAAAAGAACAGAGGGGTGTGCACAACAGTTCTAAATTTTGGAAACCTGAACAACAGAAAATTTTGTCTATGATGTGATTGAGATCAGAACAAAGGAAGCTCTCCTTTAGTGTTGAAGAAGGATGAGTAAGGAAGCATCTCATCGGATCATGGTTCTAGCAGTGGAAGGGACATCAGAAACCATCTAGTCTACCCCCTCCTCATTTTACGAATGAGGAAACTGATGGAGGCTAAATGTCTTGCTCAAGGTCACACAGATAGTGAATGTTGAAAGCAGGATTTGAACCCAGGTCCTTTGACTTAAAAGCTTGTACTCTTTTTTCTTCTTAATTGTGCCTTTCTTTCCCCATGGGATTATTATTTTTTAAAACCAAAGGGGCCCCAAGCATTCTAGGCTGGGGCAGTCCTATTTGGAGATGATGGAGTGGGGATAGAGGGTCAATGGAAAGGATCTTTGGATGGGTCATATGGACCACAGGATTCAGAACCTACAGGATCCCTTTGTGGCCATTTAGTTCAATGTATTCATTTTTACAGGAAAGAAAACTGAGGCCAAGAACGATTAGGCGGCTTGCCCAGGGACGCCCTGGAAGTAAATGAAAAGGCTAGGATTTGAACCCAGGACCTCTGCCTCTAAAATATGGATCCCTAGATCCTTCCACAAGCAGCAGATCTGCCTTCTAGAAGGCAAAGGAAGGCCCAAAGCCGGGCTGAGAAGGTGGCACATTGCCGTGTCTCTTCTCTTCAGTTTCCCCGCTCTTTCAAAATGGGAGGAATACGGTAGGGGCAGCTGGGGGAAGGCTTGTGGGAGCAGAAATGAGCTGGAGCTATCCAGGAGGGAGCCAACAAAATATGGAGGCCAGAGCCAGCCCACCTTCTCAGAAGGCCCCCTTTACCTCTGCTCATTATGGCGGAGAAGCCTGAGCCCACGCTGCCGTGTAGGAAGCAGGTGGGGGGCCCCAGGTGCTCTCTCCCCACGTGCCTTTTGACGGAGCTCCCTCCTCCTCTGGAGGCGCCCTCCCTTGTTTTCCACAGCAAGCTGTGCCTCACAGAAGAGCTCCTTCCTGCCCCAGTTTTGCCTCTAGCTCCAGGCCACTCCAGCCGCGGTTGGACAGTTCTCAGTGCTGAGGTTCAGGATAGAATGCTTATTGATTTGGTCTGAGAAGGAGAGCCAAGGAAGGACCCAGGTGAGGCTGGGAGATGGAGGCGCTGTCGTCAGGCAAAGTCTAACTCTAACCTCTGTGGAATTTCCCAAAGAAGTCCTATTGGAAAGGGGCAAAGCAGAAGAGGAAGGCAGTTTTTCCGGGTGCCCGGCTTGGATCTGGGAGGCATTGAAATTCAGAGGCCGAAGTCCCGAGACAAAGATCATAATGAGACAGGAAGGTGGCATAGGAAGGAACCCATTTGCATGACAATGAGCAGAGCCCAGAATAGAAAGCTGGAGGGATGCAAGGGTGAGGTTGGCAGCTGAGCTGTTTTCTCTCTCAGTAGACCACCAGGTCCATGCAAAAGGAGAGAGGAGAAGGAGGAGTGATGGAGAAATGCAGTGCACGGTCTGGGGAGAGAGCCGACGAGTTAGGGCAGGATGAGGTCTAAGGAGTGTGTAAACATGTGCTAGCTATGGCATCTGAACTGGCCAGGCCAGACTTTGGCCTCTCCTCCCCTCCCCTCCCTCCTCTTCTCACGCCTGAGAGCTGAGATTTATACTTGTTTTCTAGTTTCCCTCTCACTCTTCTCCTTTGCTTGGGAACTGACGAGAAGGGCAGGATGGCCACGACCCACTGGGAGCTGTACGATGCCATCGTGATTGGGGCTGGCATTCAAGGCTGTTTCACTGCCTATCACTTCACCAAAAATAAGAGAAAAGTCCTTCTTCTGGAACAGGTAATGTCTGCCCCCTCTGCTCAGGGATGTGCTGGAGATAGCTGATGCAACCACAGGAGAGCTGATGGTTACATTTTCAGTGTATTTATACTTTGGGCATCAGCAAATGTCAGAAATTTGGGATGGGTTTATTGTTTTTTGATTGTCTAGACCAGGGGTGGGAAACCTTTCCATGTTGGAAGGTCACATGAATATTTGGCTATAAACAAATCAAGTAAAAATATAAAAGATGAACAAAAATGTATTAATAAAAATAAAAGGATTTGTTTTGTAAAATTTGGATTCAGTTAAAAGGCCACACTTAAGGACCTAGAAGGCCACATGAAGGTCTACATTTTAGAAAGTGGTGGAGAAAATGTTTGTACTGCAGATTAAGCTTAAAAGTATGTCCTGTGATCATTCCACCCCAGAACTGCTTATTAAACATTTATTGCTCAGTCATGTGACTCTGTGTGCCATGGACTTTGTCTATGGCCAAAGTTGTCTTGGCAAAGATACTAGAGTGGTTTGCCATTTCCTTCCCCAATGTGTCCTTATTTTACAGATGAGGGACTAAGACAAATAAGGGTTAAGTGACTTGCCTACGGTCACACACCTAGTGTCTGAGGGTGAATTTGAATTCAGACCTTCCTGTCTCCAGGTCCAGTGCTCTAACCACTGTACAACCTAGCTGCCCTAACTGTTTCCTAGGTACCAAGCCTAATCCTAAGCAATTTTCCCTTCCTGGGAGGAAATCAGGGGACCAGGTCATGTGACCTGTTGGGGAGATTAGAAGGCTAGCACTGGAAGGGATCTTAGAGGGCATCTAAATATGAAGGAGTGGCTAGCTTTGGAGTCAGAAGACCTGGGTTCAAATCCTGACTGCCACTTCTTACCTCTGTGACCTTGGGCAAGTTATTTCCCCTGTCTGGGCCTCAGTTTCATTCTCTGTAAAATGAGGCAGATGGATTAGGTGACTGTAAAAATACTTTCCAGTTCTAAATCCATGCTTTCATGAACCTCTTGGATTTTAAAGACAAAGAAATTGAAGCCCAGAGAAGGAAGGATTAGGAGATAAAGCCAAGATTCAGGTGAGTTCACTGACTCCAGAGCTAGCATTCTTTCCACTCTAGGGTTCTTTCTCCCACGTAGATGACAGGGGTAATGGGTCAGCAAAGTAGGACTATAGCACCCAGAACACGTGGGCCTGAGCTATGATTCAAAATAAGTAATGATGGTCGATAGCTCATGTGCCCAGTGTCTACATTACATAACCTCACTTGTAAAATGGTAGGCAGGAGATAGAATGTGATGGGACTGAATGATGTCTAAGGGCCCTTCCCTTTCAGCTCGAAATCCCGTAATCCTATGAACCTGTGCAAAGTCCTTGCTCATCTGTATCCCCAGTATTTCCTCCCTAATTCTTGACTCTAAGTCCTGCCCTTTGCCATCTTCCATGCTTGGGTCAGATTGGACCGGCTCAGCTCAGTTTGATCGGGACCGACTTTGACTCAGGACACTCCTGTGGAGGTGGGGAGTCTTTCTCAGGAAGACTTTGTACACTACTGGGGAGATGCCTTGGCATAGCTGCCATGTCTCAGGCTGGCGAAATTGCCTATGTCCCTGCTGGCTTTTGATGGGAAATTCTAATCCCCTTGTTGACAACCCCAAGCAAAAAAAAAAAAAAAAAAAAGAACTCCTCTCTGGGCTCCTCTCCTTAAAGGGCAGGAGAAAAAAATCTGTGTAGTGAGTACAGTGGACATGCCTCAATGTCATGGGAGACTCAATCTGTAGCCTACCTGTCCTTTCTAGGACCTACCAACTCTAGTAACTTCATGGCTTCTTAGCACTGTCTCTTTCATTCTCTTGTCACCATTAAGGGCTCATTGGAGATTTACTTATTTTCATAATGAGGTTTAGTGATTGGAAAATTCTTATTTCATTACTCTTCTCAAAGCCTGAGGGTTTTTACTTTTCTGAGAAAAGAGATAGGGGAAAGAGGAGAAAGAGGCAGTCATCCTACTATCCTGTGGTTCATGTAGCTCCATCAAATGGAGAAATACTGATGAGTGAATCACTCAATTGAAGCACAAGCATTTATTAAACACATACTATATGCCAGGCATCGTGCTCCATGCTGGGGTTACAAAGAGACAAAAAATAAAAAGCTCCTGCCCTCAAGAAGCTTACATTTTATCAAGGAAAACAATGTATACATACATAAGTATGTGCAAAACACACACTCACAGATTCTAGTAAAGTGGGATCTGAGCCCAGATCTTCCTGACTTTAAATCCATATTCCTACCATCCATGTTGAACTCAAGATGCTTTGATTTGATCTGAAATGATTTTTGGAGGCCCTTTAAGACCCAACTAAGTACACCTTCCATGAGGTCTTTTCACATCCCTCCAGCTGTTAGTGCCTTCCCATCCAAAGTTACTTTGCGTCTGTTTTGTGTCTTCCATATACATGCATACATGCATACATGGTTATACCTATGTATTTGTGTATGTCGTTTCCCCTGTTACAATGTAAGATCCTTGTGGTAAGCATTATTTTGCTTTTATCTTTATATCCCCAGCACTTAACACAATTGCTGGCACATAGTAGGCGATTAATGAGTGCTTGTTGAGGGGCAGCGAGGTGGTGTAGTGGATAGATCACTGGCCCTGGAATCAGGAGGACCTGAGTTCAAATCCGGCCTCAGACATTTGATACTTAGCTGTGCAACCTTGGGCAAGTCACTAAACCCCAATTGCCTCACCCCCCCCCAAAAAAAAAGTGCTTGTGGATTGATTAACCCTTGCAAGAGAGAATTCTGGATTATGGACAGTGGGGCTTGAACACTAACATTACCACTGGAATCGGAAAGCAAGGAGACAAGAGAATATGGAGTTGGCAGCGGGGAGCATCCATAGAAATAGGAAGGCACCCCATCCCCACCCTCACTGTTCTCTGTCCCTGGGCCTGACTTCCACATGTCTCTAGTCTCCAAAGAATTCTCTGCATCCTTTGCCAAGACCTTAAGTGTGTCCCCGGAAGCTCATGTTTGAACCCAAAGAGGATGAGACAAAGAGATGGGGTGGGGGATGGAGTAAAAAAAAAAGGCAGCAGGAGAAAATGAAGGTTAGATGACACAGTGAAAGTGTTATCAGAAAGGAAAAGGGCAAACTATAACAGGCTGGAGCTTAGGGTAGTACAAATGAGAAACTTCTATCCTCAGAGTAAATGTAATTAAATATAGTAATGGGCTACCCAGAGAGAGGGTGAAAAGATTTGAAGAATGGGAGAGCGATTCTCATTTGAGTGGGATAGTCCTTCCTAGAAGCCTAGAGAGTGGAGACATGTACTCTCTAGGGAAAGGAGTAGCTGATGGGCAACAATTGCTTTTCTTCCTTTGTCTCTTTCCACTGATTCCCAGTTTTTTCTCCCTCATTCCCGGGGAAGCTCCCATGGGCACAGCCGGATCACCCGAAGGGCCTACCCTCAAGACTTCTACACCAAGATGATGGAAGAGTGCTATGAAATATGGGCCCAGCTGGAGAATGAGTCTGGGACAAAGTTATACAGGTTCACTGGATTGGGGGGTGGCAGGGTCTCCCTAACATGAGGGTCTTCTGACCAGGAGGGATTTTTTAGTGTGTGTGGACTAACAGGGGTTGGGATGCTAGATAGTGCTGGAAGGGACCCCAGAGGCCATCCAGTCGAACGCCTTTCCTTTTATAGATGAGGAAGTTGAGATCCAGAGAGGTGAAGGACTCACTCAAGGTCAAACATAGGATCATAGAACTAGAACTGGAAGGGACCCCAGAGGCCATCCAGTCCAACCCCCTCCTTTTAAAACAGACAAGGAAACCCAGGTCAATGGAAGTGAAGAGATGGCTAAATTCACAAGGTAGTAAGTGTCAGAGTCCAAATTTGAACCCAGGTCCTCTGACTCCCAGTCTAGCATTGTACCAGTCCCAACAACATGCTTAAACTTGATTCCCCAGGCTAGCAGAGTGGGTTTGGGGAAGCTGGGGGAGAGGCTGACTGAAGCTCTTGGTAGATATCTAGAGTTGGGCAAGATTGTCTAGCATCTGCCAGTACTCTGAGGAGAAACTCAAGGAAATAGGGAAGCCTGTTCCACCTTTGTTGAGAGGCGATGTGGAACAGTGTTGGAACTGAGCTTGAATCCTGCCCTCTGTGACCTTGGAAAGGTCTCTGAGCCTCAGTTTCTCACCTGTAAAATGGGGACAACAATAACTGCAGTGCCTGCTTCCTGGGGTTATTGTGGGGCTTAAATGAGATGTCTGTAAAGGTCTCACCAGATGTTAAGAGGCAGGGCTGGTGTAGTGAATAGAGAGCTGGCCTCAGAGTCAGGGAACCGTGCATGCAAGCTGTGCCTCTAATACGTACTGGCTGTGAGGTTGTGGACCAATCACTTCATCTCTCACTGCCCCAGCAGCTCCCTAAGGCTTTACACTTCTGAGTAGGTGTCTGTCAACATTGGTGGAGGAAGCTCCTCATGGGGGCTCCTGAAACTGATGAAATCCCAGGTCTGGTCCATGAACAAACAGGCAGACAAAAACGTTCATCATTATCACCAACACCGTGCAGTAGGATGCCAATTTATTAAACCCGGATTCAAGATGGATGATTCTGATTTCATTTTAGGTTTGCTGGCAGGCACCTGCTCTCATCACCCTCAACTCCATTCTTAACCTACACAGTTAATGCTGCCTAGTGCACAGAGAAAATCACATGGGATCAATTCACCCCATTTAACAAGGATTAATTAAGCACTTACTATTGGCCAGACACTGTGCTAGGCAACTGCACATAAAGAGAAAAACAAAGCTGTCCTTGCCCTCAAGGAGCTTACATTCTACTAGGAGGAAACATACATACAAATAAGCACACACACGTTTTTCCTGCATGTACGTGTGTGTGTATGTGTGTGTGTGTATTTCCCTTATATACGTTGTTATTGGCCATTGAGTCGTGTCTGGCTCTTTGTGACTCCATTTGGGGTTTTCTTGGCAAATATACTGAAGTGGTTTGCCATTTCCCTCTCCAGCCCATTTGACAGATGAGGAAACTGAGGCAAACAAGGTTAAATGACTTGTCCAGGGTCACACAGCTAGTAAGTTTCTGAGGCCAGATTTGAACTCAGGTCTTCCTGACTCCAGGCTTGGTGCTCTATTCGCTTTACCACCTAACTGCCATAAATACACACACACACACACATGCACACCTATGTATGCATGGATATAAGCACACACACACACATATACACATAAATATATGTGTATGTATGTACACACATATGCATGTATATAAACTATATAATATATACTATACTAGATATAATTATATAATATGTTGTGTGTAACTATATAATATATACTTATATAGTTGAGAAAACATGTATATAGATAAGTAACTCTATGACAGTGTTACTTATCAATATACATTTCTTTCCCTATAGATAGACATAGATATGGTTACTTACAGTAACTACTATATATAAGTAACTTGTAGTTTCTTTCATTATCTGCACATATATGTTGTGTGTATATACACATATATGTACACGTGTATATATACCTTAAAATTGTACTGAGAGTTTTGGAACATCCTCTGTACGTCTCCTTTTCTATGTGTGTATATGTATCTATATACATATATACACACATGCGCATATACATACATAGACACAAATACATACATATATGCACACACATACATATATGTATACACACAAAATAATTTCAGAAGGAGCAAGAAGAATAAGGGAAATCAGGAAAGATCTCTAGTAAACAGGTAAAACGCTTTTGGAATGCTTCCTCTGTGCCTGACACCTTTCAAATCACTGGGGATACAAACCTAAGTGAACAAGATAGGCAATGGCCTTAAGGAGCTTCTGTTCCAACGGGGGCAGAATTTGGAGACAAGGTTGATGGTGAGGAGGTGGAGATCAGAGAAAGCAGTGGAGCTAGGGAGAGGAGTGTGCCTGACCTGGGCCAGAGACTCCCTAATCAGGAGACGGGGTCTTAGGGCAGGGCTTGAAGGAGGGAGACCTTTGAGTTGAGCCTTAAAGAGAACTAAGGGTCACTCTCCTAAATCCCCGGCCACCTCAAGGCTGTGTGGTATAGTGGAAAGAGCATGGAATCTGGGCACTGTAAGGCTGTGCTCGGAACTCTGACTCTGCCACCCAAGGGAACTCTGGGAAAGTAATTTCTCCTCTATGGGCCTCAGTTTTCTCATCTCTAAAATGAGAGGATTGGACTAGCTGGCCTTGAGGGTCTTGTCTAATCAATCCACAAACACCAGGTGCTATGTGCCAGGCACTGGCTGTGCAGACAAGAACTATTTCCTGCCCTCAGAGAGTTTATATTCTACAGAGAGTATGAGGGGCTTGTATCTTATGAAGGAGATAAGGTATAAATACATAGCAAGGGGAATCTTGGTTCAGCCTTGCCCTGGTCAATAAGGCAAACCATGCTGATCACAAACTCACACAGCTTTCATAGCTAGGAGTGAATGACTTCCATATAAGGGCAAAACAATGCTGATTAGTACCCATGTTATGAGAAAATGGGTTTTATGCCACCTCAGCTCTTCCCCCATGTCTAAGTATGCATATGCAAGGATATTTGCAGGCCACCATTTTCTGAAGACACATTGTACTTGTACCCAAAGGTCAAGCAGGATTTAAACATGGAGTCACTAGGCTAACTTTGGGCATGCATGCACACGGGTGTGCAACACACACACAGAGGTTGTTGTAAGTGTCGTGGAGTCATTTAGTTGGCTGACTCTTCATCATCCCTCAAATCATAGCATGACAATACTGTCTGTGGGATTTTCTTGGCAAAGATCCTGGAGTGGTTTGCCATTTCTTTCTGCAATGGATTCAGGTAAACAGAGATTAAAGGATTTGGCCAGGGTCACACAGTTAGTGTCTGAGGATGGATTTGAATTCCAGTCTTTTTGACTCCAGGCTTAGCACTCTATCCACTAAGACATATAGCTGCTATACACACACACACACACACACACGCGCACACACACACACACACACACACACACACACACACCCCTTATCTTTATTTTTGTGTATGGGTAGGTATATGTGTATATACATATACACATATACATATATACATATATATTCTAAATCCTATGAGTGCGACAACTCATAGCTATTTATCAGGCCACTTCTGGCTAGAGGGGGATGGGCTTCTTTACTCGCTACCGCTCACCCTTCCACCACTGAGCTCTCAATCTGGGAGGGAGGCTGAGCCCATTTTCCAGCCTGAACTGTAATCACCCCTTCTTCCTTTTCTCTGAACTCCACACAAACTGCTGCTGCTCCCCCGACAGAGTGTCGGGTTTTAATGGCTAGGAAGCAAGAGGTTACCGCGCTGTTGCAAAAACACCATTAACTTAAGAACAAAACGAAAGCCATTATGCAAATACTGCCAGGGCAGCTAATTACAGATTTATTCCCACCAGAAGCGGCTAATGTGCCCAACACCAAATAAAAGGGCTCGTCCATCCATTGGGCTGGTGGGAGAAGCAGTGACTGATGGACAGCTCCCTCCTTCCCATCTTCCTCCATCTGTCTTGAGTACAGCGAACTTGTCCTAGACCTCAGAGGGTAAACTTATTCCTGAGCGAAAATGAGGTGAATAAGGATTTAGGTAGGGAATGGACGTCCCCAGTGTCCTTTCAGGGAAGCAGAGACTCTCAGAATTCTGTGGGATCTGAGAAGCCTAACTTTAAAGCTGGGGGGAATCTCAGAGAGGTAGAGGGTATATGGAATTCTGGGCTTGGAATCATTTCATCCTGTCTCTGACACTTACGAGCACCTGGGCAAGTCCCTTAACTTCTCTCTGCCTCCATTTCTGCATCTGTAAAATGGGGATAATAATAGCATCCCAGGGTTGTCGTGAGGAGTGCTTAGCACAGAGCCTGGCACATAGTAAGCACTCCATTAATGTTGGCTATTGGTAGTAATAGTGTTAATAATAGCCTTACAGAGTCAGAGTTGGAAGGGACCTCAGAGGCCATCTAGTGCAACCCTCTTGTTTTATAGATGAGGAAACTGAGACCCGGAGGGGTTCTGTGACTTGCTTAAGGTCAGAGTACAAATTTGAACCCAAGTACTCCTTTCATTGTACTGTACTGTATGGGATGCACCCCATTCACATCAGTTTTGACTGTTATTAATCTAAGCCATCGCTTGAAGGTCTCCCTGGGAGACTCCGTCAGGAAGAGTTTCCTTGAATTGAACCTAAATCGTCTTCTTGGCCATCCCCACCCCTTGCTCCATGGGGACTAGAAGGCCTTAACCTCCAAGTCCTTCATTCCACGTTCCTTACCTGTCATTACCTTACCTTGCTCTGGGGACGACTTGCAGAATAAACCTAATCTCTCTTCTTACACAACTGTCCTTCACATCCGAGAAGATAGCTACCTGGCCTGCCCTAAAGCTCTAGGCTGAGCGTTCCTGCTCTTTCAGGCAGCTAGCCAATCCCCTTCACACATAGTCTGACGTCCTGTCATCCGCCTGGTGGTCATCCTCCGACTGTAATCCGGCCTGTCAATGTCCTTCCATGTGGGCTCCTAGAAACGGACTCCGGGTGTGGTCTGGACACGGCTGGGTCTGCTGGACCTGTATGTCACCTTCTGTGGCTTTTGGGCCATCTTTGGCAGTGCTGGGCCCAGGGAGATGGAAGTAGGAGGGAATGAATAGGTGCCTGGAGCCAGAGGTTGAGGGCATGCAGGGGAAGGGGTCTGGAAGGAAGGAAGAAAGACAGGGGAGAGAAAGCAGACGAGGCTCTCCTTGGGTGTTTGGATCAGTCAGGAGATTTCCACCAAGGGCCCAAATTAACCTGAGAGTCTTTATCTAGAAGATCACAGAATTAGAACAAATCTCATTCTGAAATGGATGGATAAACTGTTCCATTCCCTTGTGTCTGGATAGGATCCCACCTAGACCAATCCGAGCCAATGAGACATTAACATGCTTTTAAAAAAGACAGTCAGACAGGCAATTTCACAACTACCTTGGATAATTCAGTCCAATGTCTTGAAATGCTCAGCGTCAAAAATGGGATGATTTATGTGAAAACGCTTAACAAAAATTTAAAAGCGCTAGCTGCAGGCCTTAGAATTCCCTGGATTCATTTCCCAGAGCACCAGCTCCTTCTTAGAACAGACTCAAGGAGACTGCTTCTGATTCTGTCTAAACCTTTTCTGATCAATCCTGGAACCCCAACTTTGGGCACATTGCCTCCTGACCTTCTGGACCACTGATCCTGGTCAAGGCCTCTGGGCTCAGAGATGAGAGGCATTACAGTACGGGGGAACAAAGCCTGGTTCTGGAGTCAGATGTCTTATACTTACTACCCATATGACCTTGGGTAAATCACAACCTCACTGGGGCTCACTTCGTCATCCGAAAAATGATAAGGCTGGACAAGGTGGATTCTGGGGTCCCTTCCAACTCTAGATTTCCATTTTATGACCCAGACTCTGCCTCTTACAATCTGCGTGACCTTGGGCAAATGGCTTCACTTCCCAAGGCCTCAGTTTCTCATCTATAAAATGAGGAGGTTTTAACCTCTAAGTCCTTAATTCCATGTCCCTTACCTGTCATTAGTAACTAATTTCCTTTTTTCCCCCCATATTATTCCTACTGCTAAATATTCCACATTTCAAGAGTGGGTTTTCTAGGGTTTATTTACTAAGGGAAAATGAATATACAAATTAAGAAATAACATTCCATGGTAAGGTAATTAGACATATGTGTAAAAGAAGAGTCTGAGCTTTGTAACCAGCTCTTCAGTTGAATTTCCCCAGGCTTGGCCCACTGCCCTTTCTAAGCTGGGAGAGGCCCTACATCACTTCAACCAGCTCCCTCTTCGTCCTGAGCTCCCTGGAGAGAATGTCTTCTGACCTTGGAATACTCACCCAACCTCCAAATGATTTGTCTATCTGGACTATACAGTCCATTTTAGGACCTCGGCCTCACTTCAGCCAGTCAGGAAGTCTTGGTTGGCCTAATCCCTGTCTTTCTTATTTTCCCCCTCCGGAAACTAAGAAAATGACAAAGCAGATAGCAGTGCTATGTACTGGTCTTGTGACCATACTCCTCATTTGGGATTCATTTTCCTTGTTTGTAAAAACAAAGGGGTTTGGATCAGATGGCCTCTGGTAGCCCTTCCGGGCCCTAAATCTATGATCTGTTACCAATAAAAATAATAGTTAGCACTTACATAATGCTTTAGAGTTTGCAAATCACTTTATACAATCATTTCATTTTGATGATTTTATCCTCACAACAACTGTGGGAGGTAGTGTTTTGCAAACCTGAGGGCATTATTTAAACATTAGCTATGATAATTATTGCCCCCATTTCTTTCTTTTTTTTTTTTTTTTGAGGCAATGGGGGTTAAGTGACTTGCCTAGGGTCACACAGCTAGTAAGTGTCAAGTGTCTGAGGCTGGATTTGAACTCAGGAATTGCCCCCATTTCTTCTTGGTCTTTCTGACTCCAGGCCCAGTGTTCTCTTCCATCGTACCACCTGTCTGTCTCTGGGGCCTAAAGCACTAGACGATCTCTCCTACAACAGTGTTGTAAAGATGGCTAGAATTATTACTGGTATGAGGAAGTCCTACCTCACAGTTAATTTAAATCTCTCATGCTATCACTTCAGGAGACTGAGAGGGAGCTCAGTCAAGTTGGAAACAGAGGCTTCCTGCCCTGTACGCTGTATAATCCTCAGATATCTCCCAGCACACTTTTAGGCTAAAAGTCACTCCAGATCCTTTCACCTTTTCCTCATACTTCATGTTTTCCAAGCCTTTCATTTCTAAATGTTTGTGCTTTTCTTCTGGATCCCTCCCTGGCCCTCCTCTGGTCTTCTGAAATGGGGGAGCCCAGAATGGACTGGAAATGCCTGCTCAGGGTCAGAGGACCTGGATTGTGATTCAGTTGTTTCAGTCCTGTCCAATTCTTTGTGACTCCATTTGGGACTTTCTTGGCAAAGATACTGAGGTGGTTTGTTGTTTCCTTCTCTGGGTCATTTTACAGCTGAGGAAACTGAGGCAAACAGGGTTAAGTGACTTGCTTGGGGTCACAGAGCTAGTAAGTGTCTCTGGCCAGATATGAGCTAAATTTATAATCCTATGTCCATATTTTCTCCTCTCTCTCCTTCCTCCATAGAACACAGGGGGCTTGCAGGGAGGGTCTATTTCTTCTGTCTTTCTATCCCCCGTCTGGACTGGCACAAAGTAGGCACTTGACTGTTGATTGATTGATAAATCTTATTATTTCTCTAAATGAGCTTCATTCATATTTAATATCAATAGTTTCTCAATGGACCTAGAGTCAGGAAGACCTGAGTTCAAACATAACCCCAGATACTTGCTAGCTGTGTGACCCGAGGCAAGTCATTTATCATCTGTCTGCCTCAGTTTCTCCAATTGTAAAAGGAAACCATATCCCCTACCTCCCAAGGTGGTTGTGAGAATCATATCAAGATAGTATTTGTAAAGTGCCTAGAACGGTGCCTGGCAGCGCATAGTGAGGGCTATGTAAACATTAGCTATTATTATTATTATTATTATTATTATAGCACTGAACATAGTGCCTGGCAAATCACTTAATCTTTCTTTGCCTCAGTTTCCTCATCTGTATGGGAATAATAATTGCACCTACCTCCCAGGGCTGTTGTAAATAGTTGTAAAGGGTTTCACACAGTGTCTGGAACATAGTAAGCACTTAATAAATGCTTACTTATTGATCAACCTTAGTGAGACAGTTCTGTTGCTTTTTAAAGCTGGCACGTAGAGAGAGGCCCTCAATATAAAGGCTTGTTGAATGGGATAAGGCCTGGACCTGTGATTTCCTTAGCATAGAGAGCTCTCTGGTGAGGAAGTTCCCTTTGCTAATTCAGGTCAGTGTCTTCTTGGCAAATCTGGTTCTGGAGCATTGAGAGATTGACAGGACTCTCCTGGGGTCATCCAGCCAGTGTGTGTCAGAGGGGGAGCCCAAGTCCTCCTGACTCTTCTCTGTTATGTCAGGCTTCTTTCGTTGAATGAGAGAATGAATGGATAAAGCCCACTAAGAATCCTCAGCTGGGGTAGCCCCTCTCTCTACCTCCACTGCCCATTCCCAGCTGTGGGTGGGGCCGGGAGATCGGCCCTCCTTACCTCGCTCAGAATCCTCCAGCCCACCAATGGGGACACGGATATCATCAGTGCAAGCCCAGGCTCTGTGATGTGTCCCCAGGCAGCAGAGACAGAGAGAAGAAGCCCCAGTTCTTGTCGGCAGCCCCGCCTTCTCCCTTTGAGGCCCACCATCCTGCTCCTGACCCGGCTGCCCCTGCTTAGCTGAGATATCAGACAAGATCACAGCCTCAAGCAGTACAGCTGGAGGCAGAAGCCGGTGGCTTCCTCTGTCTACAGAAGTGTCTGCCTTGTCAGCCGAGTCCCCAGCCCTAAGCAGTCTTTGTTAACTGATGCCACCTCATCCCGCTGAGCTGCAGAGGAAACAGAGGGAACAGGAGTCTCTCCAGAAGCTGGTGACAGCAGAGGCTGCGTTCCAACTCTCTTCTCAAGCCCCTTCCTTGAGGTCACTAATCAGTGATCAATCCATAAACATTTATTATGCACCTACTATGTGCCTGGCACTGTGTTAAGTATTGGTGGTACAAAAAGAGACAAAGACAGTCTCTGCCCTCAAGAAGCTTACAACTGAACAGGGGAGACAATGTGCAAACAAATACGTGCAAATCGAGCTCTACACAGAATAAATAGGAAATGAAAGCACTAAGAGGTGACCCCAAGATCTGGCTCTGTCCCTCATCCTCAATTTTATTCATTTCAACAAACTATAGGTGGACAGACTGAACTGGGGCCTAGGATGCAAGGAGGCAGGGGCAGGCCTGCCATAGAGGTATTTGAGGGTAGCCTGGGAGGCCAGGGCGTGAGTAGCCAAGGTGAGGATGTTCCCAAGCAAGTCAAATTGCAGGATTTTTGGTAGATATCAATCTTTCCCCTCCCCCAATAAAAGGTGTGCTCCCTATCCACCATCCCTGCCCCCTCACTCAGGGCACAGGTTTGAGGGGAATTGTTGCCCAGTTTCCAAAGAGCCCCAGGAAGATTGATCAGGATTCTAGCATGAGAGATGTGGGAGGAAATCGAACTCTTCTTTCATTGAATCTCTTCTTCGATTTTTCCTGCTTCCTTTCTGCTACTTCCTGCCCCCAGCATATGATTAAAGCACCTGGCTCTTGACCCTAACCAGTGACAAAGGTGTTAGCAGAATAAATGGGGGAGGGGGCGAGGCAGAGAGCAATGTGTGCATTGCCAAAGGACCCAGGTACAATCCCTAGTTCTGCTCTTTATGTCTCATGTGACTAAGACACTTCCTTTCCGAGTGCTACTCCATCTTTTGGAAAACGAAGCAATTAAAATCTTGAAGGTCACTTGCCATCCTGACATTCTATGATCTGGTCACAGGGGTGCTGTCAATCACTTTCTTGCTACCTGTTAGTAGGGAGAGAGGAGGATGGTTTATGCCTCAGTGAGGACAGATGAGGGTCAGGGGGAATCAGGAATGGCCTTTCTCCCACTCTACTCTCCATAATGCTGGCATCAATTAACCAATAACATTTATCATATGTGCCTGATGAATATAGGGGCTAGATTTAAGAGTTGGAAGGAAGATTAGAGTCCCCCAAACCAGCCCCTCATTTTTGTGGTTGTTCAATCATGTCTGACTCTCCATGACCCCATTTAGGATTTTCTTGGCAAAGATACTGGAATGGTTTGCCATTTCCTTCTCCAACTCATTTTTACAGATGAAGAACTGGGGCCAACAGGGTTAAATGACTTGCCCAGGGTCACACAGATACTGTCTGAGGGTAGATTTGAACTCATGTCCTCCTGACTCCAGGCCTGGCGCTCTCTCCACTATACCACCTAGCTGCCCTACACACATAAGTATATTCAAAGCAAGTACAGGGTAATTTCAGGGGAATCATGAGCAGTTAGTGGGGGTCAATAAAGGCCTAATGTAGGAGGTAGTTTTAAATGTAAGAGTTGAGTTTTGATAAATCGAAGTAAACTAATAAAATAAATTTTAAAAATGAGTTGAGTTTTAAAAGAAACTAGGGATCCTAAGAGTCAGAGGTGACGAGGGAAGGCACTCTTAGCATGGTGGACAGCCTAGGCAAAGGCATGGGGCAGAATGTGGAATTTCACATATCAGTGACAGTAAGCAGACCACTTTGGCTAGATGACGAAGCACTACCAGGACCTTCCTCTCCATGATGATTTTAGCTAGTCAGTCCCAGGTCAGCTACAGTGGCTCCTACACCAGCTGCCTAAGTTCCCTCCTCTCCCGCTCATCCAAAACTCAGTAACAGAGAGCTGAGCGGACAAGGAGTCCCAGGAAGCATGGGGACAAGAAATTAATGCAAAATGGGCAGCCTGTTTATTGGGCTCTAGGAAGGGCCATTAAGAAAATAAGCTCTTAAATGATTTTCAATCTGCCTCTGGAAATCATCTATCTTCATAGTGGAGTGGGGAGAGGTGGGGGGAAGCTGGGCCTTCTCCGATCCCTGTCTTGATTGACTGGTTTCCAATTCTTTAGATATTTCCCACTGGAGTCTCTCACCTATCTCCCATAGTGACAAGTCTTTGCATTTCCAGGCAGTGTTTTACATTCATTTCTGATTTGTTTGTAATGGTCAAAAAAAAATCTCTCTCCAATCCAAGCTGTCTTCTCCAGCCGTGCACCATTTCCCCCAGGCCAAATAGCTCAGCCGTGATCTACGAAAAATGAGAATTTCCCAAACGCAGCTCCAGAATAGAGGAGCGGCAGGCATGGCCAATTCAGATGGAAAATTTCCCACTGTTAGATCAATAGCTGGGATAAGAAGTAAATGCCACGGGGGCAGAGAACTGGAGAGGAATGATTACAAATCATCGAGATGGCTGCACCATGGTGTGTGGGGGGGAGGGCATATGATTTCCTCTACCTTTTCATCTAATTTGGGAACTAGAACGACATCGGGCACTTCATAGTTCTACACTTTCCCACTGTTTAGTGGGATTCTTCTGATTCTTCTGATTCAAGAGAGTGTGACAGAGTGGGTAAAGGTTTAGACCTGGTATTAGCTACCAATTAATCAATCAATGACCGTTTATTAATCACCTGCCACATGCCAAGCATGGTGCTAGATGTTGGGCATACAAAGAGAAAAATGAAACCAGCTCTGCTTTCTAGAACTTCTGTTTTGTCATGAGGAACCCAGAAAGACCTTAGTTCAAGTGACAGTTCAGATGCCTGCTAGTTGAGTGACCCTGGGTGAGTCGTTTGATTTCTCTGAGCCTCAGTTAGTTAATCTGCAAAAGTGAGGAAGTTGGTAGTAGCACCTGCCCCACAGGGTTGTCAAGTTGTGAGGCAGCTGTGCTGTATTGTGAAGCTCTAATGAGATAATATATGTAAGGTGGTTCGCCAGCCCTAAAGCTGCGACGTAGAGTTGGGCTGTTACTGAAAACAGCCTAGCTTGGTAGAAAGAGCAGTTGCTTTGGATTAAGAGAATCTGGCTGAGAATACCCCCACACACATACACACACATATGTGTGTGTTTATGTAGAGGTATATATGCATGTATATGTATATATGTGGATTCTCTATATACACACATGCAGATTCTCTGTGTATATATACATATGCACATACATACATACATGCACATATATAGTTTTTAAATCTTTTAAAACCTGGCTTCATGACCCAGTTTGACTACTTAATACTTGGGTGGATGTAAGCAAGCTGTCCCCCCTCTCCAGGCCTCAGTTTTCTTAACTGGGAGTGAGGGGTGTGACTAGATGACGTCTCAGGTCCCTCCTGGCTCTAATCCTATAATTAGAGCCAACAATTAGACCCTTGGCAAGAGCCCAGGTGAGGCACCCTTCTCTGACTGGCCAAGCCCTCTATTCTCAATCTGGACTAGGAACCAAAGACTTTGTACAGTGACGCTGTAGCATGAAGAATTTAAGTCAGACACAAGGGCTCCTTAATGATCTCCAAAGCAAATGAGGGGCAAATGGAAGCCAGAATGGGGTGGAAATGTCTTCCTAGTTGCCTTTGCTGACCAGCATTGTAGACTTAGGCCCAGAAAGAACCTCAAAAGTCATTTTGTCCAATTCCCTCACAGCCCTGGAGGCTCTAGATCCTGTGTGACCTCTCTGGGCCTCAGTTTCCTCCTCTGTAGAATAAGAGGTTGTTGTAGATTGCCCTTCCAGCTCTCAACATAAGGTCCCATGATCCTAAGTCATCTATTCAAAGCCGTCATTTTACTGATGAGAAAATGGAGGCCCAGATAGTTAAGCAATTTGCCCAGGGTTCCAGAGGTGACTGGGGGGCGGGGGAGCTTTCTTCAGGGGGACCAACTTGAAGGAAGCATCTCACCTTGGGGTCACACATAGGAAGGGCTCATTTCTTTCTTCGTTCCGGCTGCTCTACTGTCTTCGAACCAATGAGCTTTGAAGGTGCAGAGAAAAGCCCTGTCTCTCTCTCCTGTCAGTGGTGAATGCCAGGGAGGCGGGGGCCATGGCAAATGAATTGGGCACACTGCGAAGCTCTGTGTATGACACCAGCCCCAGGGTCCTCACTATGTCCCTCCCCCTCCCCTGCCCTTCCCCATCTTCCCTTTAATCCCCCTGACCAGATAATGTGGGATTTGGAAGCATGTAATATCCGTGAGACTCCATTATAGGCTATTACCAGCTTTGTGCTCCGTACCTGGTGGATGTGCCAAGCTGACAGCGGTCACCAAGGCTGCTGGGACTGAGGGGTGTGTGGGGAGGATCCCCCTCCCCCCAGTGCCATTCCCCCTGCTCCTCCTGATCCCTTGCAGTCCAGCTCCTTCTCCGACCATTCCTACAAAAAAAAGGGGGGGGGAGCAAGAGACAATGCTGGAGAGAGAGAGAGAGAGAGGGAAACTGTCAGAGAGAGAGTCTGACAGACTGAGAAGGGAGAGCCAGCAAGCCGTGGAAACAGAAAGATTCGGGGAGAAACGATAATTGAAATCCTGAGCTGTGTATTGTCCTCCTAAAAGAGTTTCTCTTCTGACCCTCTAATTTTACAGAATAGGAAACTGAGGCCCAGAGAGGGGAAATGACAAGGTCAGACAACTAATTACAGTCAGAGAGCCTAGCTCTCCTGACACCTAGGCCACTCCCTGTACCCTTTCTATTATGAACCACAATGCCTCCCAGACACGCAGAGAGATGCGAGAGAGGAAACCAATGAACAATGAAAAGATGGATGTGTAGACAAGGAGGAGACACAATGGGACCCAGAGGGGGAAAGAAATAGAAAGAGAGACAGAGACAAAGAGATAGAGAGACAGAATGAGAGGCAGACAGACAGAGACAGACAGGCAGGCAGGCAGGCAGGCAGATAGAGACAGACAGGGACAGAGAGAGAGGCAGACAGACAGAGACAGAGAGACAGGTGAACAGATAGAGACAGACAGGGACACACAGGGACAGAGAGAGACAGAAACAGAGACACAGAGAGATACAGACAGAGAGACAGGCAGACAAGTGGAGACAGAGAGAGACAGAAACACAGAGAAACACACAGAGAGAGGTAGACAGACAGAGACAGAGAGAGAAGCAGACAGTGAGAGAGTGAGGGGAAGTGGGAGAAAAAGGGTCAAGTTAAGTGAGAAAGAGAGAGGCAAGAAGACAAAAGTGAAGAAAAGAGAGGACAAGGAATATGATGGCTGGTAGCAGGAGGCATTGTGCTAGCTGTGAGGTCATGGTATTAAAAGATAAAATACTTTGATGTTATACAATGGTATACATATATTTTATGCATTTCTGAGTTTCTAACTACTTCTTAGAGCAGTTAGTGGAAAGAGCATTGAATTTGGATTCCAAGAACCTTGGATTAAATTGTGGCTCTGGGTGACCTTGGCTAAGTCACTGTCCTTCTCTAGAAAATGCAAGGCTTGTACTAAACTTCCTCTAGATTTCCCTTCCCCCTCTAGCTTTAGGATCCTCAGACCCTAACCATGTCCAATTGTCTTTCTCTCCACAGGCAGACAGGATTACTGATACTGGGAAGGAAGGAAGAAGCAGAGTTTCGCACCACGCAGGACAACTTGTCTAAGCATGGTGTGGAACACAAGTATTTCAATTGGGAAGAAATGAAGAGACGTTTTCCAAATATTCAGTTGCCCCCGGGACATGGGGGAATCTGGGAGTCATCTGGGGGTGTCCTGTGTGCTGACAAGGCACTGAAGGCCCTGCAGGTGATACCTTACAAGATCAGGGTGGTGGAGGGAGACAGGGAAAGGGTTGGGAGTTGGAGGAGGGTTGGGGGGCCAGGGAGAACCCTCTCAGACCCAGTGTTCTAGGGAAGAGGGTGATAGATTTAAGTATTGGGTACCAATCGGCTCCCACTGGACAGTACTGCTATTACCAGGATGAAGGCCATTCCCTGAGAACATGGGACTGAGGTGACTGGATGATGTAAGGGGCATACCTTTCATAATCAATGACACAGCATTGTGTCATAATCAGTAGACATGGCAGAGGGATTTGTGATTTCGAGCTCTCTTGCCAGTCCAGGATAGGACTGTCCCTTACATCCCCGGCCTATCTATTGGGGTGAGCATCTTGTACTGGAAAGACCACCGTATTCAGAGTCAGATGACTTGGATTTTAATTCAGTATCCACCATTTTCAATCTATGTGACTGGGCAAATTGTTTATTAGACGGAGGAGTGAATATCAGATCAAGAGCTCTTAACCTGGGGTCTCAGAACTTGATTTTTAATATATGTGTATTTTGATAGCTGTATTTCAATAGAATTGTTTTCCTTTGTAATCCTATGTATTTTATTTTATGCATTTAAAAACATTATTGTGAGAAGGGGATCATAGGCTTCATCAGACTACCAAAGAGGGTCTTTCTAAAGGCTCTTCTAGGCTCCCAATCTATCATTTTTTTCCCTCTCCCCTGCCCCTCCCTTTTCCTCCCCTTTTTAGGATTTAATCAGACAGCTAGGAGGCGTGATCCATGATGGGGAGAAAGTAACAGAGATAAAACCCGGGTTCCCAGTTACCGTGACAACCACCACCAGGACCTATCAAGCCAAAAGCCTGGTAATTACTGCAGGTCCTTGGACTAACCAGCTTCTCCTCCCCCTGGGAATACAACTGCCTCTGCAGGTAAGTGGGGACAGCCCCATACGGCACAGCCTGGGCAGGGGAGGGAGGGGAGGTGGGGAGCAGGGGAATGGAGACTGGGCCTTTGGCACAAATGGCCCAGAGCCTGAAAGACTCTTGGGCATCAATCAGTCAGTGCACAAGCATTTACTGCACACTTGCTCTGCGCCATGCCCTGTAAGGGTAATTGCTAGAGATACAAAGAAAATGCAAATGTAGTCCCTGCCCTCGCAGCGTTAACAATTCTACAAGGTACACAACATGCACATATATCAGTGCATACAAACTACAGTTATCCCTTCCACATCTCGGGGGCTAGGGTGCAGCGCCCCTGTGATCTGGAAAATCCGCCTAAAATTTTTTACCAGAGAAGTTTAATTTTTTTCTTTTTCTTTTATGGGATGTTTACAGCACTTATTGTAAAATTTGGGTTAAGTATTTGGTCATATTTTAACTTTAAAAAAGAAATTGTGTATATTTAGAGTATTAAAAGATAAAATACGTTGATGTTATATAATACTATACACATATTTTTTGCATTTCTGAGTTTCTAAACCTTTTCTGTGTCAACATGTCAGCTGTGGCTTCTGCAAAACTCCCCTCAAATTCTTAACTTCTTACCCCGACCTACAATATATTGAAATTGAGATGGAGAAAGTCACCATGCGAAAGGGATAACTGTATATGCAAAGGAATGTTGGGAGGGAGGGCACCAGCACCTGAGGAGGTTAAAATAGGCTTTGTTTAACAGATATTGTTAACCCAGGATCTAGGAATGTGTTGGTTTTTTATTGATAACTTTCGATAGAATTGGTTTCTTTTGTAACCTTATTTATTTATTTTATTTTATTCATTTAAAAACATCATTGTGAGAAGCAGTCTGTAGGGTTCACCAAACTGTCTGCCCAAGAGGTCCAGGACACAAGTTGAGGACCCCTATTTAGAAGGATGTGCTTGAGCTGATTTTTGAAGGGAACCAGGGATTCTGAGAGGAAGAGGTGAGGAGGAGGGATGTTCTAGGCATGGGTGATGGTCAGTGAGTGTATTTTGATAGTGAATGAAGGAGCCTCCTATGGTCAAGCTGATTTGTTGTGGAAGATTTTAGGGGAAAGAAAGGAACAAGAATTACCCAAGGAAAAGGGAGGTTGCTATTTGCACCAGTGGAATACCTATACTAGTGAGATCAGGGAACCACCTCAGTATATAATTCATTTCAATTCTATAAGCATTTACTACTATTTATGCAAACAGAGGCATATAAGTTTAGAGTCCAAAAGTCAGGCCCCATCTACGAGAGGCTTGCCACCACATCTTTATGCCTTTCGTGTTCTCTCTCTCCCTGGAAGCAACTGCTTCAGGTTTTCCCCCTTTCTCTACCATCTCTCTCTTCCCTTCCTCTCTCTTAGACCCTTCGGATCAATGTGTGTTATTGGAAAGAGAAGGTCCCCGGGAGCTATGGAGAGAACTTTCCTTGCTTTGTGGTGGTATTCCCAGACCTGATTCCCCACCACATCTATGGGTTGCCTGCTGGAGAGTACCCAGGGCTAGTGAAGGTGAGTAGGAAGGCAGAACAGAATGATTCTGCCATTCTGGTAGGACTGAAGCCACTTCTATCAATACTTTCCTTTTCTGTGTTATCCCCACGTCCATCAGCAGTGGCAGCAGACCGTGTCATTACCCACAGAAGCCATGCCTGTCTATCCTGGGGCTCTGTTACCAGGACCTTCTCTCCCAGAGTCTCAAAGGATGGGGCATGGCTCCAGACACAGGTGGCCAAAGGATGGACATCTAGATATCTCCCTCTGGCTGCAACGAGAAGGACTCATGTCTTGTCCTATCATATGAAATAGAATCATAGCTTCAGAGCTGGAAGGGACCTCAAAAGTCATCAAATCCAACACTCATTTGAGAGAGGAGGAAAGCAAGGCCCAGTGACTTGCCCAAAGTCACACAGCTAGTAAATGCCTGAAATGGGATTTGAACTCAAGTTTCCCAATGCTCTATCCACTACTTCAGGCATTAGAATTTAGAGTTGGAAGGGACCTTACTTAGCTCTTTGCTGCAGTGGAAAGAATCTCAGTTCCAGAGGGCAGGGAACCTGGGTTCAAATCCTAACTTTGCTCCTTACTTCTTCTATGACCTGAGACAAATCTCTTTGTGTGTAACATGAGGGGGCGAGGCCCGATGATCTGAAGATGCCTTCCGGATCTCAATTATTAACCCCCTAAGGTCCCTTCCAACTTTAAACATTCTTTGATGCCCCTCGTTTTAGCAGGGTGGAGATGGAGGATCAGAAAAATTAAGTAATTTGCCCAGGGTCAAATAGCTAGTAAGAATGGAGTCAGGATTAGAACCCAGGTCCTCGGGGTGCCAGATCCAGCTGTCTTCCCAGTGTGCCACATTGCTTCTCCAGTGTTGTCATTGTGCTGCCTGTGTGTGTGTGTGTGTGTGTGTGTGTGTGTGTGTGTGTGTGCAATTCAGCCTTTGGCCCCTGCCTGGGTTGGGGCAGCTCCAGCCCTTCAGCTGGGTGGGATCTGCATGGGAGGCGGACCCTCTTCGCTGAAGCCAGCCCCGATTGGGTGCCAGATCTGTTATCACTATGGTAACAAAGCCGACCCAGATGAGAGGGACTGCCCCTCAGCATCTCCAGACGTAGCAGATGTCCGGATCCTCAGCGGCTTTGTGAGAGATTGCTTACCCGGCCTGCAGCCTCAGCCTGCCATAATGGAATGCTGCATGTACACGGTAAGGGGTCTGCGAGGGCCCCGTCGGGGGCCCTGGAGTCGGGGCTCCCTCCTGAGGAGAAAGGGTGAGAGGCAAAGGCTGGGCTTCACTGACCTTGTTTAGCCCCCTAACATCTGACAGTGACTTAATCCCTCTGGCCCTCTGCTTTTCTGTACCGGAGGGAGGCAAGCAGGGGATGACTGCTATCTATCATTAATAAGCCAGGGCCAGCCCTGACGGCCCCTTCCAGCATTCTCCCGAGCTCCCATCCAGGATTGATGGGTAAGCTGCCCAGCTGGGCATGTCTTAGGGACATGGAGAGGTGACAGCTGTCACCACGGCCTGAAGCATCTCGATTAGTTAGCTGATGAGCATTTACTGTGCACCTACTGTGTACAGAGCCTTATATTAGCAGACAGACAGATGGTCACACAGGGAAGTTTGGCAAAGTTAGCGAAGATGGTGGGGATAAGAAATCCTGCACTGCCCGAGGTAGTCTGAAATCTTCTGCTCCAGAAAATAACCTAGCCCACCCCCTCTTCCTGCAGAATCAAACACTGCATTTCCCTCTACCATCCCATGCCCTGTAATGACTTCAGCAGCATTTACTCTACATGTGATTCTTACAGAACACCCCAGACAAGAATTTCATTTTGGATCGGCACCCAAAACATGCCAATATTGTCATTGGGGCTGGATTTTCAGGTGAAGTTGGAAGAAGGGACTGGGGGAGAGGATTGGGGTGATTCAGAGAGGGTGGAGGAGTGGCCTGTGTTTTGGCCCGGTGTCAGGAAGAGTGGCATTCTCCAAGGCATTGAACTGGGAAGTTGGGCTCTGAGGGCGCAGCGATGTAGGACAGCAGCACCTGGGCTCTGGGGTATCACCATGATGGACAGCAATCTCTGGCTGTGTCGGGGAGGGGGAAGGGAATATAGTCAGTTGATCATATAGGTAGCAGAAGACTACATTCCTAGGGAGCCCGTGTTTCTGAAAGCAGCTGGTGCTCTTTTCTCCTTTCCCTAGGACACGGCTTCAAGCTGTCCCCTGTGGTGGGGAAGGTCCTGTATGAGCTAAGTGTGGAGTCAACCCCGTCCTATGATCTGACTCCATTCCGAATTAGACGCTTCAAGCACCAGGACAAAGCATCTCTGTGACCTCCTGGTTAACATCTTCCTTCCTGAGTCTCCTGTGCTTAGCACAGTACCCGCACATAGTAGGCGCTTAATAAATGTCTTAGTTGATTAGTTGAAAACTCACTGATTAAAGGGAGACTTCCCAGGTTGAGGGACAGTGAGACGTAATTCATGTCTCCTATTCTACTTGATTGATCTAGGCTCACATCCCTCTGGATGACCACTTAATCCTGCCCCTAAAAGTAGTTCAGACGTCCTGGAGCTGGAAGGAAGCGATCTTGCACACCAATTTCTCAATAGGCAGAGGAGCAGGCCCAGAAGCCCATAGGAGTGGAGAGAATTTTCTTTTCTGTTGCTCTTTGAGAACAGAGACAATCCTCCAAAAGCAAGGCTGGCTTTGATATAGATTTCCTAGAGAAGGGAATGGGGGTGTACGCAAGGCTCCTTCTGAATACGCACTATGTTCTTCTCTTTGTGATTCCAGTACCTACACAAACAGAACAAAATAAATGCTTATTGGTTGATTGATACACATTTGGTATTTCTTTTTTTGTTTCCCATTGTTTCCCTCATTATAATGTAAGGTCCATAAGGGCAGGAACCAGTTCCTTTTTGCCTTTGTATTTCCAGTGCCTGGCATATGAAAAGAGCATAATAAATGCTCATTGACCGATGTCTAGGAGTTCTTTCCAGCTTTAGGATTCTTCATTTTCTGAAGACCCAGAAGTCATGGGATTGAGTCTCAGCTCTGCCACTTATTAGCTGTTGGCCTTGGACAAGTCACTCTCCATCTCTGGGCCTCAGTTTCCTCCTTTGTAAAATGATGCGGTCATACTCTATGACCTCTTAATCATCCTACTATTGAGTCCCATCCTCCTCCCCAACTCTGAAACACACAAAAACCTCTAAAATCGAGTCAAAGACTCAACGTGTGCTTAATTACATTTAGGTCTGCTGTTGGATTTATTCTCCGTGTGATCTAATTTCTATTAGGCTGTCAGTACCTCAGCCCCCCTCCCCCAGCCTCCCCATCACTCCCAGGCATTCTGCCCCTTCCTTATCCTGTCCCTAGCTCTGTTGAGAGGCCTGGCTCCCTGCTCCCTCTTAAGGTGCTTTGTCAGGTACTTATGGAGATGGAGCTGAGATACTGGAGAGAGATGCACTCGCTTAGAAACCTTACTCAATGTTTGAATGTTCAATGTGCCATTTTATATCATTAGGATCGTTCCCATTTAGTGAAACTGCGTGAGCTCAGGAGCTGGACCGTCTTGTGCTAATTGCTTTGGAAAGGAGGAAGGTCTTATCCACCCTGACTGGGGTGGGAGGGATGTGGGCAGGTGTTATAAATGGGAGAGCCATAGGTATAGGCAGAGCTAGATGCACCCAGATGGGGACCCCTAGGAGTTTGGGGCAACTAGATGTAGAGAGACAGCCAGGCCTGCGTCAGGAAGACCTGAATTCAAATCCAGCCTCAGACACTTACTAGCTGTGTGACCCTAGGCAAGTCACTTAACCAGGTTTGCTTCAGTTTCCTCCTCTGTAAAATGACCTGGAGAAGGAAATGGCAAACCACTTTGGTATCTTTGCCAAGAAAAACCCAAATGGGGTCACGAAGAGTCAGAGACAACTGAAAAACGACTAAACAATGAGAGTTAGGGCCAGTCCAAACCAGATAGAAAAATCAGGTTACACTGAGGAGAGAACAGAAATGGGAATCACTGGGGAAAGAGGTTCGTATAATCAAGATCACAGATGTAGAGCTGGAAGGGACCCTAGAGGGCATCTAGTCCAACCCCTTCATTTCACAAATGGAGAAATTGAGGCCCAGAGAGGGTACACAATTTGCCCAGGGTCACACAACTAAGTAGGGAGAGAGGTGAGATCTGGACTCCGAGTGTGTGGCTCTCTCTACCCGACCATACAGCTCAGAAAACAACGGATGACCAAATGACCTAACGTTTGCAAAGTCCATTGCAAACCTTAAAGTACTATGTAAATAGTAGCTATTATTAGTATCACAAGGCAATAGATTTAGAACTGGGAGGGACCTTAGGGGATGTCTAGTGTGACCCTTTCATTTTACTGCATCCCAGGGAGGTGCTGGGATTTGCCCCGGGTCACATGGGCAGTGAGCAGCAAAGGCAGCATTTGAACCTAGACCCTCTGACCCCAAGTTGAGTGCGCTCCATGACACTATGCCGAGGAGTCCAGTATGTGAAATTGAGCCAATGGGGAACAGAAAGGAGAGGGAGTTTATCGCATTGTTCTTGGGTCTACGACTTGATTATCCAGAGCCTATGAAGGATTGTAAGCTGGTACTGATTTTCTCAGAGGGTCAAAATGCAGCCTGTCCTGCCCATAATAATGAGTTTCTTTCCCCTTCATCAGCTTAGCTGGTTGCCACGCTCCTCCCCCAGCCAGCTGCAGCTCTCCTTCCATAATACTTGAAGGTTTTTCAAAGCACTTTTCATGCATTATCTCATTCGAACCTCATGGCAACCCTGTGAGGTAGGTAGAACAGGGATTCTTATCCCCCATTTTACAGATGGGGGAACTCAATCTGAGAGGACAAGAGTGACTTGGCCATGGTCACACACACTTTTAACTGCCAGTGGTGGGATTCGAAGCAGATCCTTCCTGAATAAATGCCGTTAGTATTCACCCTTCCCCACTATATTGTGAGCTTTTGGAGGGCAGAAACTCTCTTTTGCTTCTTTTTGTATCGCCACCTTAGCATACCGTAGGTGTTTAATAAATGTTTACTGACTGACCCCCCCAGCTTAGAACACCAGAGATGCTTAATAAATATTTATTGACTGACCTCCTCCCAGCTTAGCATACCATAGGTGCTTAATAAATGTTTATTGAGTCACTGACTATGCCATGATACCATCTAACTGTGAAGTCACTTCTTCATGTTAATTTCACTTAGTCATAGAATCTCCGAGTGGGAATGGACCCTAGGAGTCATGTCCTCCAACTGATGCACGAAAGTGATCCCCCACTCTAACATCCCCCTCAAGCAGTCATTTAGTTCCTGCTTGAAGTTCTCCAAGGAAGCAGAGCCCTCTACCTTCCTTTTAGACACCTCTGATGGTTGGGAAATTTCCCCAGACATTAAGACTAAGTTTACCTCCTGGCAGCTTCCACCCACTGCTTCTAGTTTTGCCTTAGATATGTTTCTCACATGACTGACCTTCAAATAACTTGAAGATAGCTAGTAAGTCTCCCTGAGTCTTTTCTTCTCTAGGGGAATCATCCTCCATTTATAGGTTCGTAGATTAAGAATTGTAAGGCAGCTTAATGATAATTTAGTCCAAGTCTCTCATTTTGTAGTTGGGTAAACTGAGGCCCAGAGAGGTTAAGTGATTTGTTTAAAGTCACACAGGTGGTGGAACTGGGATTTATTTATTTGTAATTTTTAAAAAAAATTTTACACTTAAATACAAAATGCGAAAAGAAAAAAAAGAAGCATTGCCATGTATTGGGAACTGGGATTTAAACGTTGACTGACTCCAAATTCAGCACTTTTCCCACTAAATGTGGGAAATCTATCCTCACATGTCATGAACTATAGTCCCTTCCTCGAGTCCTCAGCCTCAGGACCCCAAACACGTCTCTAGGGCCGCCCCATGTCTATTTCTGCCAAGGCATGTAAGAGTCTGTTCTCATCCAAAATGGTGATGAGATCTTAAGGGAGCCATTGAGGTCTGATGCTTTCCCACTGGGAACCTCTCTTGGTTCACTCTCATTATTCTGGTCCCCAGCCAGGTCCCTTTGTACCCACCAGGGTATATGGGGGAGAGGAAAGAGTGTCCTGGTCAGAAGTGGGAAGGAGAACAAGAGGAGGTCTGACTACATAGGAAGCCAGTGTCTCTCTCTTCCCTCTCCATCAGCTTAGCTGGGTGCCATCCTCCTCCCCCAGCCAGCTGCAGCTCCTTACTCACTGCATTACTCAACTCCTTGGTGTCAGCTATGGGAGGAAACCAGTGAAGAGAAGAACCTAGGGGGAGGACAAGAGGTGGAAATATACCAGAGATTTTCCCTTGGTGAAGGGAAGGGGAAGGGGAAGGGGGATGGGAAAGGGGGTAAAGGGATTTCCTAGATAGACTGTGCCTGGGAGTGCTGATGCCCTTTCAGAATGAGGTGGTTCAGCATACTGGAAAGTGGGCAGGATATGGATGCAGAATAATAATAATAGTAAGCATTGACATAACACTTTAAAGGTTTTCAAAGAATTTTACATATGTTATCTTATTTAATCCTCACAGCAACCCTAAAAGGTAGGTGCTATTATTATCCCCATTTTACAGGTGAGAAAACTGAGGCACAGAAATGTTTAAAAGTGACTTGCTCAGGGTCACAGAGCTGGTATCTGAGGCAGGATTCAAACTCAGATCTTCCTGATTCTGCATCCCAGCATTCTATCCATTATGCCACCTAGCTGACTCTGAAGACTTGGTTGGATTAGAATCTTTCCTCTTCCACTTCATGGTTGTGTGGTTTTTTTTTTTGAGGTAAATCATTTAACTTCTTTGGGATTCAGTTCCTCAAATGTAAAACAAGGATTTTAGACTAGATGATGTCTAAGATCTTTTTCAATTCTAGATCTATATAGTCTTATGATCCTGTGATAATGAGGCAGGGCTCATGCCAGCTTGCCTGGTAGCAACAGTAGTGTCCCAGACTGACTGACGGGAGGGTGGTGGGGAGGCAATATCACTGCTGACAACCCCAAAGCCAGTGTAGCCTGGACCAGCTTCCCCACGGTAGGATATCTGAAATCTTCAAATCAGCTTAATTCAAACAACATTTTAAAAGGCCTTATTATATACTAGGCACTATGCTGGGCCCTGGAGATAAGAAGACAAAAACTGCCCTCAAGGAGTTTACATTTTACTGGAACTCATTCCTAGAGGAGGAAGAAAGGATCAACAGTGAGGAACAAGAGAGGTGGTAAGTCAGGAATAGATGAGCATTTCAAGATCATAATTTTAGAGCTGGAAGGGACCTTAGGGGTCACTGAGGTCAATCTCTTCATTATGTAGATGAGCAAACTGAGGATCAGAAAAGTTAAGTGACTTGCCAGGAGTCAGAGAGTCTGTAAATGTTCAACGTGGGAACTGTACACCTCTTCCTGAGTCCACATCTAGTGCCTCATCAACCATCACACATTGACCCAGAGAAGGGCCGTGATTTGCCCAGGGTCACACAGCTAATACCCTTCTGAGGATGCAGACCCAGGTCTGCCTGACTCCAATTCAGCATTGTTTCCTCCATTCTATGCTTCAGAGAGAAAGACTAAAGGAGAAATCCCAGGGGAGCTGGACTGGAAGATGGGGGAGGTTGAAGCCCGAAGGGTTGATGTCTAGGACATGCTAAAATACGATCAGATTGGGAAGCTCGCCCTATTTCAACCAGATTCTGAGCAACACCAGTCACCTTTCTATCCACCAGGCCCTAGAATAAAAGTAAGCAGGTCGGCCTAGGGGAACACAGGCAAGGTCAGCTGGGGTCTGCATGGGCTGCAGG